CAGTAGCTTTGTCAGGACTTGCCCCAGGTGCAATATGAGAAGTTTTTAAGGTGACCTTTTCTACTTGAATGCAGTCTGTGTCAAATGTTAACATGCCCTGTATTCCTGAAAAGGGGGGGGATCAAATTGCTTTCCAATAAATCTGCAGTTTAAAAGGGCTGTGCCTGCGGGTCTGCTTTGTCGTCCCACGTCCTGGCCTGGCTGAAGTGTCATGGCACCGGCGATGCCGGATGGCTGGCTGCGACTTCCCCGGGTCTCACCCATCAGCCGGGGGCTGAAGTCACTGTCCACCAGCTGGATCTGCCACGGGGCTGAGGTTTAAAGGAGTCTGGAGGTGTCACCAGGTCGGAGCTGGTACCCAGAGCTGCAGCCTCCGGCAGAAGCAGGTTGGTGTCCCTACGGTGCTGAAGCATCACTGACTCTGCTGCACAAGCTCGGGCTGTTTGCAGGAGTAACCATGCTACTGTGACACCACAGATGGGCTAGAAAGGTACGTTTTTATTCAAGTGTCTGCTGAAATGCATTATTCCCAAAACTGGAACTATCTACAGAAAAAAGCTGAAGCATTTCCAGTTCCAGGGGGTGCGTGGTGCCTGTGACAATCAGGGAGTGGAGTGGAGCGCCGAGGTCCGCTGTGGCCATCTGACGGAGCGGCCCTGACACGATCTTCTGGTCCGGAGCGCCCACGCGTGCCAGGCCAACACAGATGGTGTCTTCGGTAATTCCTGTTGGAGAGAAGAGAATGTTTGCCTCCCTGACCTGTCCTGACAGTGGTCCTGTTGTAAAGGAAAATACTCAAAGGGCTTAAACCTTCCTGCATCCAGCTTAAACCTGTGATGAACAGATCACTGGAGTGCCCAGGAGGCTTGTCCTTCCAGGAAAATAAAGCTGTGCCCTAGGGGTGTTCATAAGCAGAAAAAAGTAGGATATAGAATTCATTCAGGAATTGTGTTCCCTTTGAGGACAGTGCTGTTCCCATTCATTCCATATGAAGGATAAAGTGAAAGGATTTTAACAGTGTTTAAGGAAGATTTTAACATTTCAGATCTTAACAGTATTTATGAAAAACTTTCAAACGGAGGAACAGAGCTGGATAAACTGCTGTTGCAGAGCATTTCCTGTGACAGAAGGGAGTCGCCCTTTGGGCTGCTGTGATTCCAGCCTTTCCCTTTGTTCCTGAACAGCGTTAAGGCCAGGATCCTGGTCCTGCATCGCTGGCCTAGCCCAGGCTCTTGCTGGTGTTCATGTGGAGCAGCCTGACCAGCCCAGGTAACACAGAGCAGGGGTGTTTGCTCGACTGATCTAAAACGGAAACGAAGCTTTTCCCGAGTAGTAGCATGGATTCACCACGGGAAAGTCATGCCTGACTCCTCGGATAGCTTTTTATG